CGTTTTCCCGAGAAATATTGGCACGGCCGGTGTATAGAGCATCACCAGTGCTGTCATCCGCATAGCAATGAATGTTACCAGTTAGCAACATATCATTGATATGCAGAAGAAACAGCGTTGGTGATAGCACACAGCCTTGTGGAACACCAGCGTTAATAGGCTTGTAGTCAGAGCATGCACCGTCTACAACGACCTTGATGCTCCGATCTGCAAGGAAGCTGGTGATCCAATTGCACAATTTCTCGGGAAGCCCATAGGAAGGGAGCTTCGAAAGAAGCGCTTTGTGCCAAACCCGATCGAAGGCCTTCGCAATGTTCAGACTAACGGCCAACGCCTCCCCCTTGGACTCTACTGCCTCCGCCCATCTATGGATCAGGTAGACCAGAAGATCACCAGCTGATCGACCCCGACGAAAACCGTATTGGCGGTCACTAATCAGCTGGTGATCCTCAAGGTACCGGATGAGCTGGCAGTTAATAATGGATTCCATTATTTTGGAGAACAAGGAGGTGATCGCGATAGGCCTATAGTTGGATGGGTCTGAGCGGTCGCCTTTTTTAGGGATCGGGTGGACAAAAGCTGTCTTCCATGAATTCGGGACTACGCCTTGGGAGTAGGAGTACCGGAAAAGACGCGTTAGGACCGGTGCCAACTCCGGAGCACACGTCCTCAGCACAATTGGGGGGATTCCGTCAGGCCCACTCGACTTCTGGATGTCCAGGGAGAGCAGTGCTTTGCGAACCGAGCGCTGTGAGAACAGCACATCCGGCATGGAGCACTCACACCGCGGGATGGTCGGCGGTGTTTTCCCCCCGTCATCAAGAGTCGAGTTTGACGCAAAAAGGGAGCCTAAAAGGTCGGCTTTGTCTTTTGCGTCATGGGCCAGTGAGTGTGCAGAGATGGTAGTGATGGCTTACAGAAATTCCCTTGGACAGCCTTGGCGAGAGACCAGAATGCACGGGTTCCCGAAGGAAGGCGAACTAGTTTCTCGCCAATTCTGCCTATGTGCTCTGACTTTGCCTTGGCAATAACTCTTTTGAAGGACCTGGAGGCGAAGTTATACTTCTTTTTAAGTGTGCTGGTATTTACATCCCGAGTCGCCGAAGCCGCAGCCCAGGCTTGATAACACTCCTGCTTACTGCGTAATGCAGTCTTACAGGAGCGACCAAACCAAGGCTGAGATCTGCCTCCGATGGGTACCACAGATGATGGAATAAATAGTTCCATTCCCTGTAGCACCACATCAGTGACAGAGTCAGCAACAGCGCTGGGATCATCCGGCGAGAAGCAAACCCGCCCCCATGGGTAGGATGCAAAGAAGGACCGCATTCCGTCCCAATTCGCCGACCTGTAATGCCAAACACGGCGGCAAGCTGCAGAACGCAACCGCGAAGGGAGCGTGAGTGGCACCACACTCCGGATCAGACAATGGTCCGAAGAGCCGAGAGGGGCATCGACGGAAACCAGATATCCGTCCGGATGAGAGGTCAGCAGAAGGTCCAACAGGGAAGGTGTATGATCCTCCACATCTGGAATCCGCGTAGGCGAAGTAACCAGTTGTGTCAGACCATATGCCAAGGCAAAGTCATAAACAGATCTCCCCGCATGATCGGTTAGACGTGAACCGAGCCATTCGGCATGGTGGGCGTTAAAATCGCCAAGGATCACGATCTCTGCGGATGGGACCTGTTGTAGCAAGAAATCTGTAGCCATTTGGACGTGGTCGATGAGTCGGTCTGTTTCGGCATTACCGCTATGGGACCTATAGAGGCACCCGTAGACGCGCGGATGGTCGTCGCTGTCTACGCGTAGCCAAAGGATGGACAGGTCCAAACCTTCAAGACTGCCGAGGCGTCGAGAACAGATGTCCTCTCTGACATACACGCAAACTCCAGCCCGAGGCACAAAGGAATGCTCCAATTTGTACCCCGGGCAGGAGAGATACGAAATATCAGCCGGAGAGGAAACCTGCGTCTCGGTCAGAAAGAGCAAGGCCGGCTTCGCCGTCTCGAGATGGTAGTGGACGGCGTTTAGGTTAGAGTGAAGTCCCCTGATGTTGCAGAAATTCACGGATAGCGTGGCAGGGGTCGCCTTGGTGTTCTTGCTCAGTTTGCCCCTAGCAGTAATGCTTTTGAGCGGAATTTTGCCCCCCCCCCCCCCCCAGAATACGCGGGGCAGCCTGAGCACCCACGCTCAGGATCGGAATAACATGGTCGTGGATGCTCAGCGAGGGATTCTCCAGGGGTGCTGGTACCCTCCTGGGGTAATTCTTCGTGTAATTCCGCTACCATGTTGATGGGGGGGGGGGGGGGGAATTGGGCCTCCGGCCACCTGCACTCGCCAGACGAAACGCAGAAGCAAAGCTTCTACTTCACGCCGGTATTCTGTGAGGTCGTGGTACCAACCCGGCTCGAGCCGGCCCATACATGCAACAGCAAAAACTGCTGCGTGGCTCTACCACCGTAATAACGACTAAAAATAAAAAACTGCGGTTGCCAACCCGCTTGCCAACCGGCTTGCCAAGCGTGGCAACTACAGCAAATATTCTCCGTATGAGGCAATCTATAGGGGAGGCCTATGTTCTCATCAGTGGACTTTAATAGGCTGTAATGGATGGATGTATAGAAGATAATCTACCAGGAGCACATGACGAACTGAGAGGTGAAATTATTGAATCAACTATGGCATTAAAACTATGGCAAACATTCCCCTATGAGGCCAATGTTCAGCAGTGGACTTTAAATAGGCTGTAACGGTAACTACCTCAACTGTGTTCAAACACAAACTTGTCCAATCTTATTTTATTTTAATACGACCTACAAGTAGCAGTTTCTGGAGAACATTTGTACTCAGACATTATGACAAGAACTGGTTAATTTTTAAAATTATGGTAATTAAATTTCACAATTTTTTGTACATTTAGAATTATATCTTATTCTTATTACGAAATTCTAAAACCGAACTCTCTCGAAAACTCAAAAATAATCGTCTGAAGCCCTTGTAAATACGTCCTTAGTTCGACTTAAAAACCCAGACTGATCTCTATCGATGTTTCATTGAATACATTTTATTAGGACGTATTTTTTAAAGAAGGGCGAGGCGAAACTCGGGGATTAGTAATGCCGCATCTTTTTATATTGTCATATATATATATATACAGGGTTATTTTGCAATTACCGGCCTTTGAAGAGAAGGTTCAGAGTAAGTAACATAGGCAAATGATGAAGAGAAATTATAATTAAATAAATCTCAAACATGCTGTCCTTTTCTACCGACTTCAAAAAGGAGTCGGTACTCAATTCGACTGTAAGTTTTTTATGTGTGTTACCGTGTAGTCCGTTGTACAAAATTTTTAATTTTTAATTATTATCTTTTAAATTCATAATTTAAAATGAAACCTTTTGTACAACCGACTTCAATATAATATATTAAGAATAACTCAAAAAATATTGGTCAGACCTCTATCAAATTTATATGGGACCACATGAGAAGCACCAGCTTTCAAATACAAAAAGAATCATCGAAATCAGTTCACCCAGAAAAAAGTTATGAGGTAACACACAGAAAAAGAGAAAATAAAATACAGTCGTATTGAGTACCGTCTCCTTTTTGAAGTCGATATAAAAATGCATTCATTTTACTCATTTTACTGTCGATCGATAGGCAAAACGTTGTTGCCCATTAATCACATACAATTTAGGATAATTTATAATAAAAGTTGAAGCCTTATTTACTCGTACTCGTATTTTCAAAAAGTGCTATAACGGTATGGCATTATTTATATATTTGAACTTAAGTTTAAAAATTGGCTACTTTTTAAAAAATAACCCTGTGTAACCTATATATATATATATATATATATATATATATATATATATATATATATATATATATATATATATATATTGTTTTAATAGATTTGATTGTATATCGATAAAACAATAATTTTCTGTAAAAATAATTAAATAATTACTTATACAGTTACATTTAACTACTATCGAGTGTAATTAATATAAAATGTAAATTATTAAATAAGTATAAAATGTAAAATCCCATCTCCAACTTGCAATACACACATTATTAGAATAGAAAGAGTCCAAAAGAAATTATTTCAACATTGTGTTACGTTTTAGAACAAAAAGATATGCGAAATGTTATATAGAAAAAAAAATTAAAACAGGGAGAGACAACATTGATTACTCGTAATGATTCTACATAAAATAGTAAATGGTGAAATAGACTGTCTTTGTCTGACCTTGACCTCGGCGTCATATATTTAATTGCCGCTTTAAAAGAACAAAATTAAGAAAACTCACTGCACTGTACCTTGACTGGCCTTCTATGTAATAAATACGCTAAGAAATCTAAGAGCCTTGACATATTCAATGGCACCCTCACTAAAAGGAAATATTCAAAAAAGTAATGTTATACACTTCTTTACTCGTGGAGCCACGATGCAGCTTTATTATGGTTGTTGTAGCACGAATGGGTCGGCTCGACAGGGATAGGATGACGCTCTCATAGAAAACCACCAAAATAGCAGCGTAATGCTGCTGTGTTTCGTATGATACGTGTAGAGAACCGGAGACCATTTTTACTGGAAACGAGGAATTCCAACTTAGTCCTCAGGGGTGACAACGCATCTGCATTTTAGTTCTGAATCGAAGATAAATGTTGTATATGGGCCACAGCATCCACTTAAAATGAGGTGGACTGTGTGCTCATTTGTCGCCCTTATTCTATATAAAAAGACACTTCTGTCGAATTGTCACAGTAACGGATCAAACTGATCGTTTTGATATCATCCCTAGCTGTAGTTTTATTTTCATGTTTTAGTGTATTTACATATTGGAGTCACTATTATGTTATTACTAAGAACATGTTCAATATGTTATCGTTATTGTAAACTCCTCCTTTAATTTGTTATAGTATTTGTACAAAATTAAAATGTATAATGTACTCGCATGCTGCTAACTGCTAACCATATATGTTTTTTGCAGATGAGAGCGACGTCAGCGTGTTTGGCGCTACTGGCATTAAATTATGCTTTCCTGGTAGCCGGAGATGGTGAGTTGGTTTTTTAATTGCATGTAATTTTAAACTTTACGTGAATTACCAAGGTTTGAACTGCAGGTTTACCATTCTCCTGCCATATTAATCAGAATATCCATTGAAATAAAGATAATCGTTTATTCAGCATCACATAATTATTATTTTTTACAATTTCAGTATATTTTAAATTTAGAATTAGCAACTTCAATTCAATGCAAAACTAGGCACAAGAGAGAACGGTGAGCTGAAAGTAGGGAAATTTGGAATAGGGCAACGGAACCCAAGGGGCCAGCAGCTGGCCGACTTCATGGAGAAAGAGGGACTCTTTATGATGAACTCTTTCTTCCAGAAGCGGCCCCACAGGAAGTGGACCTGGTCGAGCCCCGACGGTTCGACAAAAAATGAGATTGACTTCATTATGACGACCAGACGACAACTGTTCAGTGATGTCTCAGTGATCGCGAGGGTGAAAACCGGCAGCGATCACCGAATGGTTAGAGGCACACTGAACCTAAACGTTAAGTTGGAGAGGTCTCGTCTAATGAAGTCAACGCTCCGTCCCCCTCGTGCTCTTTTCCAAAGTCCCGAAACCTTTCAGCTCGAGTTACAAAACCGTTTTCAGTGCCTAGAAGACTGCAATGAAGTGGACGATTTGAATGACAAGCTCGTGGAAACTGTCCATGCGGTCGGAGCTAAGTTCTGCAAGACCCGCCGCAGAAGAACACAAAAACTCTCCGATCACACTCTTAATCTCATGGCTGTTAGACGGGAGATGAAGCTACATTCTTCAACAGATTTAACAGCATACAGGCAACTGAACAGACAGATCTCCAAATGCATGCGACGGGACTTACGCAAATTCAATACAGCTCGTATTGAAGAAGCGATCGAGCGGAACCGAGGCTCCAAAGTCTTTGCCAGAGATCTGTCTGCCAGAAAGCGCCAACTGTCAAAGCTGAAGACAGAATGTGGCAGCATCGTTTCCGGGGCACCTGAGATTTTGAGTGAGATTGAGAGGTTCTATGGGCAGCTGTACACGTCATCGTTGGAGCCGCACGCAAGTGTGAGTAACGATCCAAGAGCGAGTCTTATCCGACATTATTCCGATGATATCCCGGACGTCAGTCTGAGCGAGATTAGAATGGCTCTCCAGCACCTTAAAAACGGCAAGGCCCCAGGCGAGGATGGAATTACAGCGGAGCTTCTGAAAGCGGGTGGAAGACCGGTACTTGAAGTCCTTCAGAAGCTCTTTAATTCCGTCCTCCATGGTGGCATTACACCGGAGGCGTGGAGCAGAAGTGCGGTGGTCTTGTTCTTCAAGAAAGGCGACAACGCTCTCTTGAAGAACTACAGACCGATTTCCCTTCTGAGCCGCGTCTACGTGCTGTTTTCGAGAGTCATTACGAATCGTCTCGCGCGCAGACTTGACGACTTCCAGCCTCCCGAACAAGCCGGTTTCCGAAAAGGCTTTAGCACCATAGACCACATACATACCCTTCGGCAAATTGTGCAGAAGTCCGAGGAGTACAATTTGCCACTATGTCTGGCGTATGTGGACTATGAGAAAGCCTTTGATTCCGTCGAAATTTGGGCGGTGCTGCAGTCCCTTCAGCGATGCCAAGTTGACTGTCGGTATATCGAAGTGTTGAAGTGCTTGTACAGTAGGGCTACGATGGCTATCAGAGTACAGAACCAGAGTACGAAACCTATCCAATTGCAGAGAGGTGTAAGACAGGGTGACGTCATATCCCCGAAACTCTTTACCGCTGCATTGGAAGATGTTTTCAAGCTTCTGGACTGGAAAGGATACGGTATCAACATCAATGGCGAGTACATCACTCACCTTCGATTTGCCGACGATATAGTCCTTATGGCAGAATCGCTGGAGGACCTAAGCACTATGCTCAATGACCTCAATAGTGTTTCCCAACGGATAGGTCTTAAGATGAACATGGACAAAACAAAGATCATGTTTAATGTCCATGTCACACCTATGCCGGTAGTTGTTGGGAACACTAAGCTCGAAGTTGTTGACGAGTATGTTTACCTGGGACAAATAGTCCGACTAGGTAAGTCCAACTTCGACCGAGAGGTCAATCGACGGATTCAACTCGGTTGGGCAGCGTTCGGGAAATTACGGCACATCTTCTCGTCAGGTATACCTCAAAACTTGAAAACGAGACTGTACACCCAGTGCGTTTTGCCAGTGATGACATACGGAACTGAGACGTGGTCCTTCACTGCTGGCCGGATGAGGAAGCTCAAGGTCGCTCAGCGAGCTATGGAGAGGGCTATGCTCGGAGTTTCTCTGCGTGATAAACTCAGAAATGAGGATATCCGCAGTAGAACTAGAGTGACCGACATAGCCCAACGGATTAGTAAGCTGAAGTGGCAATGGGCCGGCCATATAGCTCGAAGAACCGACAACCGATGGGGAAGAAAGGTTCTCGAGTGGCAGCCTCGTACCGGCAGGCGAAGTGTAGGGCGTCCCCCCACTAGATGGAGTGACGACCTGGTAAGATATGCAGGAAGTCGATGGATGCAGGTGGCTCAGGACCGTGCTTTGTGGCATTCTTTGGGAGAGGCCTATGTTCAGCAGTGGACTTGTGAAGGGCTGTAATGATGATGATGATGATGAACTGAGTAGAAACTAAGCTAGGTAATTCTTTTTGCTAGAGTATTTCGAAGGTGATAGTTTTCAAAGTCTGTTTTTACTTGTTATAATTTTTTTTAAAGTAAACCAGCTTACATACTATAGTGTTTAACTGACAATGCATTTTATTCTACTAAAGAATTTTTTTTTCAACTTAAGTGACATTAGGGCCGTGGTAACTCAGGTGCTAAACGCTCGCTATAAATTTCACAGTACGCGAGCAACCCGAGTTCGATCCCCGCCGGCACCAATGAAATTGTTAATTGCAATTTTAAGTGCTGATGTACCACTTGCTCGGCGGTGAAGGAAAACATCGCGAGGAAACCTGCATGTCTGAGAAATAAGAACAAAATATATTTCGAAGACATGTGAAGTACGCCAACACGCATTGGAACAGCGCGGCGGATATTTCCTTGCCCTACAAAACCCTCTCAGAAATGAGAGGAGGCCTGAGGCCCAGCGATGGGACGTATATAGGCTGTAATTTAACTTTAACTTTAAGCGATAATAATTAATTATTTAAAATATAATTTAATACATCATCATCATCATTACAGCCCTTCACAAGTCCACTGCTAAACATAGGCCTCCCCCAAAGAATGCCACAAAGCACGGTCCTGAGCCACCTGCATCCATCGACTTCCTGCATATCTTACCAGGTCGTCACTCCATCTAGTGGGGGGACGCCCTACACTTCGCCTGCCGGTACGAGGCTGCCACTCGAGAACCTTTCTTCCCCATCGGTTGTCGGTTCTTCGAGCTATATGGCCGGCCCATTGCCACTTCAGCTTACTAATCCGTTGGGCTATGTCGGTCACTCTGGTTCTACTGCGGATATCCTCATTTCTGAGTTTATCACGCAGAGAAACTCCGAACATAGCCCTCTCCATAGCTCGCTGAGCGACCTTGAGTTTCCTCATTCGGCCAGCAGTGAAGGACCACGTCTCAGTTCCGTATGTCATCACTGGCAACACGCACTGGTTGTACAGTATAATTTAATTAATGACATTTTTATGAGTTTACATTTTAAACTTTTTATTTCATTTAATTATATTTATTCTACCTTCATACTGAGACTTGTATATTACTTAAATATAGGGCGTTTGTTGTCATATTTGCATGTGGACAAAGTGATATAATACTGTATATATCCACCAAATGATGGATCGCTGTTCCACTCAATTTTTTCCCTGTAAAAACAACCTGTCAATCACAATAAAATTGATTTGATTGTATTTGAATTGAGGAATATCACATCATATCATATTATAAGGATTTGAGGAATATCACATATTCAAGTTATCAACCAGACCATCGTCAAAATACTTACTTGAAAGAATTCATCCCATGTTTATCCACCATTAGATGTGAATTTATTTCATAAAAAATGGAATCGTCCTTGACTTGTTAGCTGATTTAACATAAAAATCTTTATAAAAACATACGCCTCAAATATCTATATATTATATATACCTCCTATTTTTGAAGACGGTTAAAATTCAATAAATGATATTGAATGTGGGAGAGTATTATAATATGATACTCATTACTAACACATTAAATTACATTTGATTAAATGGGATTTTTTTTCTAATCCCTCTTCCCCCTGAAATAAATGGAATATCTCTAATTTTACGGATTTTAACGCGTTTAATTTTAACTTTATTATTTCCGTCGTTACCCCATCCCTCCTGTACACACCTCACGTGATTAACTTCCCCTAACACAGAAGCACTCACTCGCCTTAAAATATTCGCGCTAGATGTAACTCTCGTGGAATGACGGCTCTGTAGTGTAGTGGCTTAGAAATTAGTTGCTGCGCTGGGGGCCGCGGGTTCGAATTCCGCACGGAACAAGTATTTGCATGGCCTACATATAAATGTTTCGGGTCTGGATGTTTGTCCTCGTGTAATTTATGTTTGTAAACTGCCTCCACGACACAGGAGAAAATCCTAGTGTGGATGTAACGTTTTTTTAAAATAAATAAAATAAAATAAGATCGGAGATTTAAGCTAGAATGTAGTCTGAATCGTGGAGACAAACACTAAACTGCTTTTCTGCTTAGGCGTCCGTCGGGTAGATACTATATTCTTGCCTATTTCTACCGTTAACTAGCTGTGGGTGTATTGTTGTATTCCAATCTGTAAGGCTTAGAGAGCCAGTGCAATTACAGGCTGTAAGGTATTCCATCTTGGTTCACGGAGGTGACTAAAAGATTTTGTGGCCTTCTTCGTTTTAGATGGTTGTAGGTGTTTATAGGCAGCAAATCATCTATAACATCACTAAATATAACTCTTCGTCATCTCCAGTAGCAGAAGAACCACAGGCAAATTGTGTACTAAATAAATTTGCAGCAACTTTT